CTAATCTTTGATGTGCTTGCAGGGGACACATTTCTTGTTTTCAAGCAACAGAATTTTTATGATATTTTTGTGAGTGTGCAGTTGAAGACAATGTGATTTAGTTACTCTGTGTAGCAATATTTTATTTCCATTATTGAAAATAACTACTGACACTTAAGAGTGGTGCTCAACTTCCATTTAATTTCTACTGTCTTGTATAATTGCTAAAACTCTCAGAGAAGCAACTTAAAAGTAGCACTTTTGTCTGATATTTTTACCAATTATGGCTTTTCCAAGAAACACCCCTCTTTATGTTAAATGAAAAATTAGAGCAAAGAAGTATTTTTTACCAATTGTTTTAGTTATAGTTAATTATTTCCCTTGTGTAGTCATTTAGCTAATATGTTGGTCTTGCTATTTGTATGGATCTTATACAGGAAGACAATGAACAAATTGCCAGAAGTTGGCAGGAATATTCAGGGATGCATGCAGAATTAACTACTTTTTCATTCGGTTGCATTTTGAATTGATGCTAAGCCAAGGGATGGCACCCTGTGGCCTACAGGCCAAACTCATTCCACAAGAGCCACTGGATCCAGTACACAGAGCTGGGACTTTGGCAGCATTTAGTGGTGGGGGGGCTTCATCCTGCACTGCAGTGCAGTGGGTGGGAGGGAGAAGTTGTGGCGGTAATGGTGACAGCTAGGTCTGGTACCAGCCTGCCTCCAGCCGGAGCTGAGCCATTTCAGCCTGTTGCTGGAAAACGGTGCCAACTGCTGTGTTATGCTGTTAAGCCTAAAAAGGTGCTTTTTCCTGAAACCCTTCAGTGACTGCTTTAGGAGCTGAGGCATTTGCTTTAAGAGCCTTGAGATGACCACATAGCGTATGAGAAATCAGTTGACAATGAATTCTGTTGACAGCAGGCAGCCTCAGCTATCATCCAGCAGTCTGTGCTTTATAAACAGGGCTGGCGGGGGAGGGCAGAGGTTGAGGCCTGTGCCGGGCAGTAGAAGATCTTACTGATTCTGGCAACTATTGTAGCTCAGTGAATATTATGAAAACGATATCTACTATGAGCTCCTTTAACATTTCCATCAGCAGACAGACAGGGCTGCCAGAACGAACCAGTGCTCACTAATAACCTGTGTATCAGAGAAAGTGATACTCAAATTATTGTCAAAGCTTAGTGAAATAGTTTGCCATATATCTTGTAAAGATGCATAGCTTTGTGCCTATGCTTGTTTTTAAAAAAGGCAGAAAGAACTGGATTTTAAAAAAGGCAGAAAGAACTGGATTTGACCTTAAGCTCTTTGGATCAAACACACAATTCCCCTCCCTGACTTTGTAGATCAAAAGTCCATTATCTCATTAAATAGAAAGCTCTCCCATTTCTGAGAAAAGTCATCATATTCTCATGGTGGTAGGGAACACTCTCTCACACCTACTCACACATCGAACAGAAGAACTTTGGGTTACTTCTTAGTCCTCTATTCTTAGCAGCTTTTCCTTATAGATTCATAGATTCATAGATGTTAGGGTCGGAAGGGACCTCAATAGATCATCGAGTCCGACCCCCTGCATAGGCAGGAAAGAGGGCTGGGTCTAGATGACCCCAGCTAGATGCATATCCAACCTCCTCTTGAAGACCCCCAGGGTAGGGGAGAGCACCACCTCCTTTGGGAGCCCGTTCCAGACCTTGGCCACTCTAACTGTGAAGAAGTTCTTCCTAATGTCCAGTCTAAAATGGACATTGTGAGGTCATTGTCTCCTTTTGAGAATGGGCTTTACTATAAAGAAGGAATTGAGTGGTAGTCTGGTACTAAGGAGGTCCAGATTCAATTCTTTGTGTAATCTTGGACAGGTCTCTAAGGTCCACATCTTCAAAAGGTATGTTGGCTAGGGTGGCCATCATAGAGGAAAGTCTGGTTGTCCTCTGTCCTCTATTGATACGAAACTGGACACCTTTATGTGATATAATGGTGTTGGCTTTCGTATCAATAGAGGACAGAGTAGCAGAAAACTGGTATGTCCTCTGTGATGGCCACCCTAATGTAGGCTCGTCAATGAAATGAGGATAGGAGCATTCCCTACGTCCTCAGTGTTGTGAAGACAACTATGCCCTAACAGGTTGTGAGATGCCCTCTTGCCATGGTGACGGGGGTTATTAAAGTCTGTAGTACAGGCTAGAATCCTGCCCCTCTGCTAGGGCTGAGTTGGAGGAGCATTGGCTAACTTGGTTTTGCTTGTTAGCTCTCCTTTCCGTGGACCTGCAGCATGCAGGCAACTTCTCAAACTTGGTTGATTGAGGCTATTTGGTTCTTTAGCTGTTTTAACAATTTTCTTCTATTCAATGCAAAGAAGTTTTTCAAAATGAAACCACCAATGATTCTTCCCTGAGTTATTTCAATATTTTATAACAGGCCTAATTTCCCTGAGACACTCCCATCCCTAGCCTGGGTAAAGAAACAGCAAGACATGGAAGATAAGATGACAGGGCATGTGATGTCCCTCTGCTCCTGCATAGCTTTTTAACATCACTTCAGAAAGATGTGATACAAGCTAGTATCCTATGAGTGATGAAGCTCCACTCATAGGCAGACAATCTGTTATTCATAGGTTTGGGCTTCAGGTGTGGGCATCAATATATACTGGAGAGAGGTAGGCCGGAGCTGAAGTCCAGGCTGGAACTTCTGATCCAAGTGTCATATCTCCAGAACAGATGGCCTTGAAAGCCTAGGTCTGGAAAAGGCTGAAATTGGAGTTTGCATTCCAGATTCTATCCTAAGCTTTCCTGAACTTATAGGACTTCCCCTTGAGATGTTGTTAACAAATTTTAATAGGGGTGGATTGGTAAAAAATAAACTTTAAAAGGATCCTTGCGTCATTCCAACCAATGTGAGAAGTTTATTGATTAAATGACAAAGCAAGATTAATAGCTGAGGAAAAGTATAATCTTATCAGATACGTTTTGTCTGGCACAAATCAAAGTTGGCCAGGCTCTCAGGCTCCACAGCAGGGGGTCTTCCAAACAGTCCTACAGGCAAACAGTCCAGCAGGTGTCTCATAGAAATCCCCAAATCTCCCCCTAGCCTAGACTTACTAGTTATAGATGGCTGGCAAATGTAAGCCTCATATTCTAATAAACTCTGTTTGGTTTTATTTAAATTTCTTTGTTTCACTGAAACTTTCAGAACTGAATTAAACCAGGTCTCTTGTGGACCAGAAAAGTGTCAATTAGTTAAGATTTATATCCTTGAGAAAGCAAAAAGGACCAAAAGGGAAACTTGTATTTTATTTCCCTTCCATTTACACTAGTTTGTTACCTCTATACTTTAGTTTATAGTCTGATGAGGCTGCTTTGTTCTTATAATTTATCTAAACATTTTAACAAAAATACATTTATTATAGCAAAGTAACATTCCATGTATTGGCTACATTAATCGCAACTTATGGTCCTTTCTTATAATGTTCCTAGCTTTCACAGATTTTAACCAAGTGTCTGCTGCTCACTTTGAAATGTAAATGTAGCTCCCTACTGTCTTATGTCACAACAGCCCCTTTAAGCAGTTTGGGACCCACCCCTGTACAAGTCTGTCAGTAGTAGCTCCAGAATCAGTTAAAGGGCTTTCACATATGATAACTATGCTAGGTCTTTGCCAACAATGTCAGAGAGGCATAAAATCTTGTAATGAAAAATAAGTACCCTGTATGGGGCTGACTCCCTTGGTTCATCATATACTGTAAGCATACCCATGGTCTTTGCCTGCCTCGTAAATAGTTCAAGAACCATCCAGACCTATACAGGCCTGAGGTTGCTACTGATAGTAAGAAGCAGCTGCTGTCTTAGAGGTGACCATTCTTAATATTTTAACTTCATATTTATTATGGTTTGATTTCCTTTTCAGAACTATCTACGAGACCAAATTACAAAAATAAAGCACCAGCTACTTGGTGCACAGGACTTGGACATTACAAGATAAGAAACTGCTCAAACAGCTGTTGCATTTGTTGTAAAAAATGATTTAGAAAACAACCCCAGCACACATGATTTATTGCAAAGCAGACACAGGTTGTACATTTGCTCTAGGGAACAAGCCAGAACTAACATATAAAGACCTGTAAGGCCTTTGATTTCTGGGTAGGCACTTGTCTGGAATTATTTAAGAATAGCACATCCTGTACTTGAGCAGGATCTGGCTTAAACACAAAACTGAGGGAAGGTACAGGCACTTAATATTGATTGGAGATAATCTGCATAAAATGCCACAGTCTGAAGCCACTCCTTTTCACTACAGAGGAGTGGTCTATGTGGAAACAGGTTCTAGCTACTCAAGATGTATGCTGGGACCAGGCATCTCAAAAGACCATGCACTCCTACTGAAAACGAAGGCAGCCAATTACTGCATTACTCTGCAAAACATGGTTGGCTTGTGGGTTACAACTTGACTAGGCTGGTATTAGGGGAAGAAAGTAAAGTAAAAGGAAAGCTCTTGTTTCTCATCAGGATTTGTAAACAAGGCCAGGCTTTGGGTCAAATATTGTTCTGAGCAAGCCAGAATCAGGACCACCCCTCTAGAAGTATTTAAGAGTAGATGCCCATCTGTAACTCCACTAGTTTGCAAGACTCTCTTCAGTGTTGGTCTGGCTGTAACAACGTTTTATCCAACATATACCTTAACGAGCATTTGCTAATTGGTAGTTAAGCAACAATGAAGACTTTTAATGGCTGGGTTTTCCTGCTACTAGTAAATGGGGACTAAAAGAATTGTATTTATAAAAGGCCTTCGTCTTGTAAGACTGTCAGTTTCAGCTTCCTTGAAATGAGCAAAGTGTCTCATTCCAATACATCCCTGAGTACACAGCAGCAAATCTCAAACTTATCTTTATAAAAATAGAACAAATTCCATTCCTTAAAGATCTTTTTCATTAATGTGATAGGGGCAAAGATGAGAGGGGCTGGGAAGTATAAGCATTCCCTTGGCACCAAAGTTCTTATATACATTTATACTGAAGGTGAATGTGGCTCTCTGGGCACCATCCTGAGAGACTCCTGAAGTCCAGTCTGGATATCTTCAAATGTTCATTGCCAGGCTGATAAACTAGTATAGAGAAAAGACCAGATATTAAGATCAATAAGCTCAGTTACTGACATTAAGCAAGAAAAAAAGAGAGGCCTGTACAGCTCTATCTTGTTTTGAATCAGTGCCTTCTGATGCCTGTTCCAAAGTGGGAGTGCCTGGGCCTAGCTGCAGCCGAGAGGTATTTTCATTAGACATGACGATGAGAGTCCAGCACCTATTCATGGCTAGCAGACAAGACAAGAGGACACGTTCTTCCTGCACCTACACAAGTCAAAAGGCGAAGTAACTCAACTTACTTAACTGAAATCATTCTGAGGGGGCATAAAAGACAACAAAATTAGGCCAGGTATTATAAGAAAGGAAGTCTTGGGGTGGCAAAAAATTGAAAGAATGTAACAATTCCCAATACTAGGGATAGAACCTGGAAACCAGGCACCTCCTTCACATAAGGTTGTTCAGTTTAAGCACCTTTATTTAAATGAATTTCCAAGTGTCAGAGTATCAGGTCACAAAGTAGAGGTCACCATCCTCAGTGAGGTCCTGAACAGCATGGAAATTCATTTGGAAAAGCTGGGCTCACACTGGAAACAAGGTTGCAAGCCCTGAAACACTAAGGACTGCTGAGCTAGGTGGTGACAATGTTTCCTGGTGTTCACTGCATCTGTCCCTTGCACCCACCTGTTGCCTCTCATTTTATGCTTGGATTGAAAAATCAACGAAAAGATGCTGATTAGCATGTGAAGCCACTGGCATGGCATGCTGGCTGCCCATCAGGTGCAGACCACAGTAAAAGGTTGTCATGGATACTCAGTGATTTGGAGAGAAACAGGAGGCAATCTACTCTGAGCAGCTACACTGAACCCAGGAAGAAAGAAGGGTAGCATTGAATGTGAAATGGAGCAAAACTGTGAGCAATCAGCACAGAGGAGAAAGGATTAATGCAACAAGGGTAAAATCTTGGCCCAGTTAGAGTTGGAAACAAACTCCCATTTAGTCCATAAACATTCCACTATTTTAGTTTCCAGTGAAGTAAAGACCATACCTCACTTATGTTCAGGTTAACGACTTCCTTGTTTTTCATGCTTAGTTCCTGGAATACCCCTGAAATAAAGTTCAGAACATAATATACTTCATCCATATTCATAGGCATAAGGTTTCCATATCACACTTTATCTGCAGCTGTTCCCCAGAGAGGGAGGATTTGGCATTCTGTCCAGGCTTATTATATATGAGTGGTGAACCCTTACTAAGCAAAACTCCTGTTGACTTCCTGAGATTTCTTGCCTGAGCAAAGATTTTGGCATTTGACCAAGAGTTGGTGGTTTGGGTATGGTAAGCAACCACGTTTGGGAACTTGTCTGCACTTTATCCTGGCTACCTGCGTTCCTTGATTTGGAAAAATTATGGTGGCAATACAGTAAAAATAACTGTCTCTCTCTTTTTCTCTCTCCTCTGCTTTCCCCCACTGCCCTTTCAGTATTTGACTCTTCTTTTCCTTTGCAGGCTGGAACCAGGAAGCAAATGAAGCAAACAAATTTAAAAATAAAAATGTTTAAGAAAGTTAACTAAATTGTCTTTGCTCCTAATAAAGGGGTTGGATTTGGTTTGAGATTTAAGCCCAGTTGAGGATCACTTCTCAGTTTACCCAAACTGGTTTACACACCCTTCTTAACAGGTTTTATTCATAAGGAAAATGATCACCCCCACCAGAACTGAGAAACAGAATTCATAATTCTATTATAGCTTATATATCTTCAGACAAAAGCAAAAAAAATGTTTAAAAGACATATGATGTGAGCACCAGCATGTGTCTTACAGCTGGGTCACCAGAAGCATTTAAGCTGGCATCCTTCAAGATCACAGTGGAAACCTTTTCCACTGGATGGATTATTCTACTAACTGAGAGCAGCCACAAACTGTTATCCACCAGCGGACCAAATTTTGGAGGGGACGTAACAGACATTTTGCCACTGTGTTTCCCATGCTTTCCAGCTAGCTGTGAGGCATAGGATCCATTTACAATGAGATATTTTTTTTCCATTAGCAGCAGGATGTGTTTTTATTTCATGGGAGGGGAACTGTTCCAAAAGCAAATAATAAACACAGCCCTTGTTTGACAGGAAAGCAATTAAAACTACATAGTTGATTTCAAATATTACACTGGAGACTCCACTGAAATGATGTTTAATGGGAACAAACAATTGCAGCAGAAATGGATACTCACGGCTTGCATTCTCTAAGCGAATTAAGCAGTTTAGGAAATCGTCAAAATCAATCTGGAACTGTTCATCAGAATATCTCAGGACAATCAGCTGCAGCAGGTAATTATTGAGTTGAAAGCCTGTATATGTATACAAACGCACATGCACAGTAAGCAACTTAGTAGACCTGAAAGGAAATCTATGAATCTTTAATAAATGTTGTAGATCAGAGGCTGAGAACCTTTATAAACTATGAAATAGAGCAACCCAGCTCCAGTTTGAGGAGGACTAGGTGGCTTTGGTAGCCCCCTACCCCTGCAGTGAGGCCAGTCATCCAGGAGCTGTGCCCGTGCTGCCACCACTTCTCCCAGCCCCACTGTCCAGCTGCGGTGTGAACACAGCTTCCAGCTGGTGAGGAGCTGCACTAGAACTGGGCAGCTACAAACTGTGTCCGTGCTACTGACACTTTTCCCCACACCCCCTTCAGCCTCACCTTCCAGCTGCTACACAAGCACAACAGGAAGCTGCCCAGGACAGCTCCCTACCAGCTGAAAGCTGTGCCCATGCCATAGCCAGCAGGAAGAGGGTGGAGAGAAGCAGCAGTGGCAGGAGCCCAACTGCTCACTGCCCAGCTCTGGCACAGGTGTTTGCTACCTGGCCCTGGTGTGGGCATGGGTACAGGCAAAATGCTCCAGCTCTGCTGGCTGGATCCTGTGGCTTTGTGTGCCAGCTGTATTTTGTCAACCTCTGGCCTAGATATTAGTTGAAAAATCTGCCTCCAGCAGAAACTGAACTAATAGCAAAACAATTTTCATCTGAAATAAATATTGGATTCTGAAATGAGAAACTGTTGACTTGTTGATGTTTTCACTCCATGCATTGTTCATTCATAGAAAGAATATTCTGCCTCCATGAAGTTTCGAGGAACTTTTGCAAAACTGGATTCTTTTAACAAATGCAAAGTAAAACGCAAATCCATGTATATAGTTTATTTTCCTCTCATCCAGCCTTCTAGTAGAGGTGATCTCTGCAACAGCATGTTTTAAGGCCCCCCCCCC